CGGTTCCAATACGCTTCCAATACGGTTCCTTTTTTCATCTACTACGGTTCCAATACGGTTCCAATACGCTTCCAATACGGTTCCTTTTTCATCTACTACGGTTCCAATACGGTTCCAATACGGTTCCTTTTTTCATCTACTACGGTTCCAATACGGTTCCAATACGGTTCCTTTTTTCATCTACTACGGTTCCAATACGGTTCCAATACGCTTCCAATACGGTTCCTTTTTTCATCTACTACGGTTCCAATACGGTTCCAATACGGTTCCTTTTTTCATCTACTACGGTTCCAATACGGTTCCAATACGGTTCCAATACGGTTCCAATACGCTTCCAATACGGTTCCTTTTTTCATCTAATACGGTTCCAATACGGTTCCAATACGATTACGGTAGTTTTCTTTAAGCTTTTTAGAAAATGATTTATTTTCTAAATGATTTATTTTCTAAAATGATTTATTTTCTAAAGCGAATTTCACTTGTGTTTATTGAAAATTGGAACAAAATTGACGAAAAATTGGAACAAAATGAAATTGAATTCTTTCTTTTCTCTCAAATAGTCATTGTTGATCACATTACACGTTTGAGTCTCTTCTTTTTTTCAGAAATTATAAGCTTTATCATTTTCCCTACCTTAAATACTCGAATATCCTCTTTAGCTAGATCCTCTTTAGCTAGATCGAAGTTTACTCTCAAATAAATCCTCATAGCTTGAAATGAGTACGTTTATTTTGAAATGTTTTAATATCGAATTAAAGTAGAGAGAATGAAGAGTTTTTTGAGTGTTTACACAGATTTTTCCCATTAACCAGCGCTTAGAAAAAATGCTTTGAAAATCGGCTTTTTTTTTACTTTTTAACTTTTGACTTTTTGAATTAACCCTGGTTAAACGACGCGACGCTTCTATATACTGTTCTGTTAGAGTTCTGTTAGAGTTCTATTACAGTTCTGTTAGAGTTCGGTTAGAGTTCTGTTAGAGTTCTGTTAGAGTTCTGTTAGAGTTCTGTTAGAGTTCTGTTAGAGTTCTGTTAGAGTTCTGTTAGAGTTCTGTTAGAGTTCTGTTAGAGTTCTGTTAGAGTTCTGTTAGAGTTCTGTTAGAGTTCTGTTAGAGTTCTGTTAGAGTTCTGTTAGAGTTCTGTTAGAGTTCTGTTAGAGTTCTGTTAGAGTTCTGTTAGAGTTCTGTTAGAGTTCTGTTAGAGTTCTGTTAGAGTTCTGTTAGAGTTCTGTTAGAGTTCTGTTAGAGTTCTGTTAGAGTTCTGTTAGAGTTCTGTTAGAGTTCTGTTAGAGTTCTGTTAGAGTTCTGTTAGAGTTCTGTTAGAGTTCTGTTAGAGTTCTGTTAGAGTTCTGTTAGAGTTCTGTTAGAGTTCTGTTAGAGTTCTGTTAGAGTTCTGTTAGAGTTCTATTAGAGTTTTTACGGTGTCTTTGATTTTTGTTGCTTTCTATTTTAGTTCCTTTTATAGTGGCTGAAAATTACGTGCGCTCAACATCTGAAATCGTTTTAAACAATGTATAAAGCATAGTGGGAGCCAGTGGAAGAGGAGCCAGTGGAAGAGGAGCCAGTGGTAGAGGAGCCAGTGGAAGAGGAGCCAGTGGTAGAGGAGCCAGTGGTAGAGGAGCCAGTGGTAGAGGAGCCAGTGGAAGAGGAGCCATCTCAATTCCAAAGCTCGCTCGATAAGGAACCAAATTTAAAGAGATTAGGAACCAAATTTCTTAATTATTAAATGTTTTTTTGTTACAACTGTAAAAATAGATATTTTTACATGTTCTTTGAAAGAAACCATTAAATTATAGCGTTTTCTTTGTCGCTTTCTTGTCGTTTTCTTGTTGTTTATTAAATTATAGTGTTTAGGGCACGTAATTTTCAGCCAGATTTTTTATATTTGTTGTTTAAGTTGTTGTTTGTTGTATTGTTTGTTTTATTTGTTGTTTATATTGTTAAATCAATCTTTTTTATATTGTTAAATCAATCTTTTTTCTATTTTAGATAAAAGAATGCCAGCAATGACGGGCCTTTTGGCCTGTGGCGTATCGGTGTTATTTTTTGGATCAATGTTTGTACCAATTAAGAAATTCGATGCTGGAGATGGTAAGCTTTTAGAGCTTTTAGAGTGTTTAGAGCTTTAGAGTGTTTAGAGCTTTTAGAGCTTTTAGAGTTTTAGAGCTTTTAGAGTTTTAGAGCTTTAGAGCTTTTAGAGTGTTTAGAGCTTTAGAGTGTTTAGAGCTTTTAGAGCTTTTAGAGTTTTAGAGCTTTTAGAGTGTTTAGAGCTTGAGAGCTTTTAGAGTGTTTAGAGCTTTAGAGTGTTTAGAGCTTTTAGAGCTTTTAGAGTTTTAGAGCTTTTAGAGTGTTTAGAGCTTTAGAGCTTTAGAGCTTTTAGAGCTTTAGAGCTTTTGAGCTTTTAGAGCTTTTAGAGCTTTTAGAGCTTTAGAGCTTTAGAGCTTTTGGGCTTTTGGGCTTGGCTTTGGCTTTTGGCTTTGAGCTTTTGGCTTTTCTTAGGGCTTTGGCTTTAGAGCTTTAGGTGTTAGAGCTTTTAGAGCTTTTAGAGTGTTTAGAGCTTTTAGAGCTTTTAGAGTGTTTAGAGCTTTTAGAGCTTTTAGAGTGTTTAGAGCTTTTAGAGCTTTTAGAGTGTTTAGAGCTTTTAGAGCTTTTAGAGTGTTTAGAGCTTTAGAGCTTTTAGAGTGTTTAGAGCTTTAGAGTGTTTAGAGCTTTAGAGTGTTTAGAGCTTTAGAGTGTTTAGAGCTTTTGAGCTTTTAGAGTGTTTAGAGCTTTTAGAGCTTTTAGAGTGTTTAGAGCTTTAGAGTGTTTAGAGCTTTAGAGTGTTTAGAGCTTTAGAGCTTTAGAGCTTTTAGAGCTTTTAGAGCTTTAGAGCTTTTAGAGTGTTTAGAGCTTTTAGAGCTTTTAGAGTGTTTAGAGCTTTTAGAGTGTTTAGAGCTTTAGAGTGTTTAGAGCTTTTAGAGTGTTTAGAGCTTTAGAGTGTTTAGAGCTTTAGAGCTTTTAGAGTGTTTAGAGCTTTTAGAGCTTTTAGAGTGTTTAGAGCTTTTAGAGCTTTTAGAGTGTTTAGAGCTTTTAGAGCTTTTAGAGTGTTTAGAGCTTTAGAGTGTTTAGAGCTTTAGAGTGTTTTAGAGCTTTTAGAGTGTTTAGAGCTTTTAGAGCTTTTAGAGTGTTTAGAGCTTTTAGAGCTTTTAGAGTGTTTAGAGCTTTAGAGTGTTTAGAGCTTTAGAGTGTTTAGAGCTTTAGAGTGTTTAGAGCTTTTAGAGCTTTTAGAGTGTTTAGAGCTTTAGAGCTTTTAGAGTGTTTAGAGCTTTTGAGCTTTTAGAGCGTTTAGAGCTTTTAGAGCTTTTAGGTGTTTAGAGCTTTAGAGGGTTTAGGCTTTGAGTGTTTAGAGCTTTAGAGTGTTTAGAGCTTTAGAGTGTTTAGAGCTTTTAGAGCTTTTAGAGTTTTAGAGCTTTTAGAGTGTTTAGAGCTTTAGAGTGTTTAGAGTGTTTAGAGCTTTTAGAGTGTTTAGAGCTTTAGAGCTTTAGAGTGTTTAGAGCTTTTAGAGCTTTAAGGCTTTAGAGTGTTTAGAGCTTTAGAGCTTTTAGAGTGTTTAGAGCTTTAGAGCTTTTAGAATTATTTAAGTAGTTAATTATTTATTCAAAGAAGAAACCGATTAAACAATCTTTATAAAGATGGTTAAACTTTCTTTATAAAGAAGATCTTTTCAAGAAAAGAATCCTCGAAAATTTTCGAGTAAAATCTGATTTTCTTTTTAGAAAAAGAGGAAATTAGTGAAATTAGTGAAATTGGCGTTTGCCAGAAGGGATTTGTTTGCAAAAGGCCAGAAGGGTTTTTTTTCTAGGCTTCTTTGTGCAATGGGTGATGTCATCGGCGATTCTCCTTGTCGGCTTTTGCACTTTCGTCTATATTGGATTCCCCGGTTTCTACCCGTTGGCAATGCTTGGTTGGTTTGAATTGTACGATGTTTTTGAAAACACTAGCTGCTTATTTGGAAGTCACACTAAATTTTGAGAACAATTTGAGAACATTTGACTAGTTTTGAGACGATTTCGTTACCCAACTTTGAACGCGCTACTTTACTCAAGGTTTACTCAAGTTTTTAACAATTCTGAAAACACTAGCTGCTTATCTGGAAGTCACACTAAATTCTGAAAACAAAATTTCACTATTTAGTGAAGTTGGAAAGAAGTTGATTTTAAGCCGAATCTATCGGTGCATAATCTGCAGCTTTTAAGCATTTCTGTAAACCATTGCGTGGTTTATTTCTCAGCCTGGAACGCATTCTATTGTTTAACAATAAAAGCTGGATGTTTGGTGCCTTTTGGTGATCTGCTACTCGAGCTAACTTTGACCCCTCTAGTTTCTAGCCTCAAGGTTATCCCCACCCGCGCCCACCCGATCCATTCTCTAAGCTGGACATCACAGCAACTCTTTTTCCAGGTGGAATGTTTTGGTCGATCGGGAATTCGATGGCGATTCCAGTGATCTCGCGGCTCGGGATGGCGCTTGGGATTCTCATCTGGAACACAACGAATTGTTTGACTGGATGGGCGGGTGGAAGGTTTGAAGGGAGATTTGCTTGGCTAGGTTTTAGAAGTACAGTACTTTTAGAAGTACAATAGGTTTAGAAGTACAATAGTTTTAGAAGTACAGTACTTATAGAAGTACAGTACTTTTAGAAGTACAATAGGTTTAGAAGTACAATTGGTTTAGAAGTACAATACTTTTAGAAGTACAGTACTTATAGAAGTACAGTACTTTTAGAAGTACAGTACTTTTAGAAGTACAATAGGTTTAGAAGTACAATAGTTTTAGAAGTACAGTACTTTTAGAAGTACAATTGTTTTAGAAGTACAATTGTTTTAGAAGTACAGTACTTTTAGAAGTACAGTACTTATAGAAGTACAGTACTTATAGAAGTACAGTACAGAAGTACAGTACTTTTAGAAGTTCCTTTAGAATCCATTTGTATTCCCTAGAAAATTCTAGATTCGGTCTTTTCGGCATGAAAGCAAATCCACCAGAGAGCTCGATTCTCAACTATTTTGGGCTCTCGTTGGTGCTTGTTGGGTGAGTTTTTGTTCTCATTTCCCACACAAGAGTCCGCCAGAAGGCGTGCGTTTACAAAGCGAGCGCAAAGTACATCTGAAAAAGAAGACAAGTGAAAAAGAAGACAAAATTTTTAGTGGTTTTCTTTTCTCTCGAATCCGAGGTGGCAAAGCGGAAGAGGAGCCGGCCGAGGGAAAAAGGATCACTTTGCATCTGGTAATTATATAAAATAGTAATTAGATTGTGAATATGAGAGTTAGAATATGAGAATTAGAATATGAGAGTTAGAATATGAGAATTAGAATCTAATAATTAGCTAGCTCTTTTCTTATATTGTGGCAAAGCGGAAGAGGAGCCGGCCGAGGGGAAAAATGGGGGAGCTGAGCTCTAACCGAGAAAAAGGGGAGCTCTAACCGACAATAGCAGCGACTATTGTCTCAGCGACAATAGCAATAAACCTTCAGTTATTCAAAAATAACCTTTTCAAACCATTCTATTCAAGAATAACACCAGCGAAAACTCGACAGAAACGGTGTGTGTCATTTTTTCTTTGCCCAGCTTTTCTTTAAAGCTTGAATTTAAATTCAATTCTTTAAATTCAAATCTACAGCACTGGAGAATGAAATATGATATTTGAAAGATGAAAAAACGTGGAATTAGGCTCGCGTTGGAATTTTCTCATTTCTAAAAGGCACCAACTTAAGCTGGCCTTTTGACTCGAGCTTCAAGTCTAACTTATAGCTTATATAGCTTATACACGCTGGCTCGACAGGCGCTGCGGTGGTCTAGTGGATAGTCTGCACTTACAAGGAAAGGCAGTAGAAATGGAAAAAATTCCAAGTTGAACCTACAGCACTGGGCAATGGAAAATGATATTTGAAAAACGATCGTCACTTTCGCGCGTCTGTAACTCCGTTGTCTTTGAGTTTAAACGATTAGTGTTATACATTTTCTGAAAGCTCTTTTCAAGGGCTACACAATGGTAATATTAATATTTAGAAATACGGTAAAGACAAGGGAGTTATAGACGCGTGAAAGTGACGATCTTTTTTCAAATATCATATTTCATTGTCCAGTAGTGTATATCGATCGAAAAAGCTATCTGTATCGTAGTCTTATTTAAAAATAAACTAGAGAGGTCTAGAGAGGTCTAGAGGGGTCTAGAGAGGTCTAGAGAGGTCTAGAGAGGTCTAGAGAGGTCTAGAGGGGTCTAGAGGGGTCTAGAGGGGTCTAGAGAGGTCTAGAGAGGTCTAGAGAGGTCTAGAGAGGTCTAGAGAGATTCTTTCAAAGCTAGCGATGACTTGCTTACTTCTAAAGCTTCTTTTCAGGTTGAATTTCGCTTGATTTTCAAATCCATAAACTCAAATCCTTAAATTCAAATCCTTAAATTCAAATCCTTAAATTCAAATCCTTAAATTCAAATCATTAAATTCAAATCATTAAATTCAAATCTATAAACTCAAATCTTTAAATTCAATTCTTTAAATTCCCCAATTTCTATATGAATTTATTATCTCAAATTTAGCATGACGCGGAAAATGAAAAGTTGAGTGCAACGCCTGAGCAATCCGATGATGAGGTTTTGAATCGAACGACGAAAGTTGATGGAGCCGAAGTGAGACAAGAAATGGGGGCACGAGGACGAGGAGTGTCAGTGAAATGTTTTGCATAGAGATTGAAATTGGATTACCGATCAGGGAAAATCAAAACAATAGTAAAGAATTGAAAGGAAAAATAAATGACCGGAGAAGGGATTGAACCCTCGACCCCTTTGACCCCCCAGCCTTTCCGTGCTCTGAGCTCTAACCGACTGAGCCATTTGGTCCCTTGATCGCGAAGAGAAAAAGGGAAAGACAAGGGAGACAAAGAAAAAAAAAAGGAGAAATACGTTGAGGAAGTCAGGTCAAAAATCAGTCAAAAGCCTAGATAAGGCTTTTTTTCACCTCATGGGAACATGACCTCATGGTGTAGTGGATAAGTATCTTGTTTCCAGAGCGAACGGTCAGATATTTGCTCGGGTTCGATGCCTTTCACTGCTTTTCATTTTGTTTCGATGTCTAATTGCTCGAATTCAATCTATTTTAACTTATCATAAAATCATGATTAAAATTATAAAATAAAATATTATAAAATCTTGATAAAAAACGAAAAAAGGAATTTTTGTGGTAGATGCCATTCGGTCAGAGAAATTTAGGCTGACTTTTGGGTTTTGAAAGCATCCTTGATATGCTGCCTAATGCCTCACTGTAGCTATAGCTGCCTAATGCCTCACTGTGCCTTATAGCTGGGATTTAGACCTTTTAGCTGGACCTTATAGCTGAGATTTATAGCCTATAGGCCTTAATTTTAGTACAAGCCTATTTACTGCTGATAATTGAAGATCTTGAAATTTTAAACAAATTTCTAGCGATTCTGGAACGCACAAGAGCATCAGAGCTCATAAAAATCGTTTAATTTTAGTACAAGCCTATATACTGCTGATAATTGAAGATCTTGAAATTTTAAACAAATTTCTAGCGATTCTGGAACGCACAAGAGCATCTGAGCTCATAAAAATCGCTTTATTCCGGAAATTTTTGAGTCGGGGAACCGAACCAGGACCCTCAGATTGGTAGCCGAGCGCGCTAGCCACTCGACCACCGGGAGTTTTGCTTACTTTTGAAAGCTAAGAAGTTCCATAATTTCCGTGATATCCAGATCGGAAGAATAACAGTTTAATTTGGCAGAATCTCTGTGTTTTTTCGGTTTTGAGAGCTTGATTCGAGATCTTCAATAATTAAGTGAAAAATTTAAAAAATTCAACCAAATCAAAGTGTTTTTTCGTAAATCTGGAACTCACAGCACATTTTGTGTCTTTCGTTTCAGCGGAATTCTTCTTGCTTTGATCTCGGGTTGTTTCTATGGTTTAACGTTCGTCCCAGTGATCGTTATGCAGGATAATCCCGAGAGATTTCCCTTTTATCCAACGGTTAGTGTTAGCGGCAGCTTTATGGAGCTTTAGAAAGCCTTTATGCACCTTTATAAAGCACCTAAAGCCTCTAGAAAGCCATAGTTCAGCAAATCGACTCGAATTTGTTTTCAGGACGGGATGAGCTACATCTTTTCGCATTATTTCGGCATTTTTGTCACTGGCACCGCGCTTTTCGTCGGCTATTCGATATTCAAGTAAATAAAGTACTTTAGACTACTATTTACAGTACGTTCTCAAGAAAAAACAAGCCAACAATCAACAACGCAATCACTCTACCAGCTTTTGGCGGTGGCTTGTTGTGGGCAATCGCACAATCGTCATTTTTCATCGCAAACGATAACTTGTCCCAAGTAAGTACTTTGAGCTCCTAAACGCACTCTTTCTAGTGCACTGAGAAAATAGAAACCTACTAGTTTCATTGAATCAAAAAAAGAAAAGAAATTGGCGGAGGGTGGACTCGAACCCGAGCAAGGGCCGGGAAATCGCTTTGTATCCAAGCCCCTTATCCACTAGGCCACCACGTCACATTGACCAGGCCAGCGAGAAAAGCCTTTTAACCTGGGTTGGGGGTTTTAGCTGGGCTGGTTGCTTTGTGAGTTTTGACGCACCGTTCTTAAGCGTGGCCCAACTAGCTGGCCTATCTACTGTAACCAGCCTATCTACCGTAGGCTTGCCTAGCTACCGTATTCCTAATCTAGGCCAGTTACCGTAACCATTAGACTACAATATCTTCAATTGACATGTAAGTTCACCCCTACTGGGCGCCTGGCGATTACGGTAGCTAGGAGAGGGATTACGGTAGCTAGGAGAGGGATTACTGTAGCTAGGAGAAGGATTACTGTAGCTAGGAGAGGGATTATTGTAGCTAGGAGAGGGATTACTGTAGCTAGGAGAAGGATTACTGTAGCTAGGAGAGGGATTACTGTAGCTAGGAGAAGGATTACTGTAGCTAGGAGAGGGATTATTGTAGCTAGGAGAGGGATTACTGTAGCTAGGAGAAGGATTACTGTAGCTAGGAGAGGGATTACGGTAGCTAGGAGAAGCAAGTGTTTGTGCACTTTGAAAAGTCTGACTGACCATAGTAACTAGGGCAGAGCAAAAACTTGCGCCGCCGGGACTCGAACCCACTACCTTTCTCTAATCGGGTCATTGTGCTAAACATTACACTACAAGGCACTTGATCTCCCTTACTCCAGAAAGACTGTACGTACTGTACTTTGAGCTGAATTCTGTAAACGAAGCCTTTCTATTGCGCTGAATTCAGAAACCAATTTGCAGGCTGTCACTTTCCCGATCATCACCACTCTGCCCGGTTGTGTGGCCGCTTTGTGGAGCATTTTTTATTTCAAAGAGATTCAGGTGAGGAAAGAAAGTACAGTAGTCAAAGTACGTTGTTAAACAAAGTACAGTCGTCCAGTAAGTTTGTAAACGCGAGTTTTCTAGCATCAAAGTTTTGTTATACTTCTTGAGTCGAGTTTCCGCTAGTCTTTCAAGTGGTAGGTGAAGGATTCGAACCCACCTCTTGATCTCAATTCATTCCGTAGACAACCACACTAGTCACTACACTACGATGATCGTTTAAAGAGAAGCAGCATTTTCCGTTTGTCTGCCCGTCTGTCCGTCTGTCCGTCTGTCCATCCGTCCGTCCGTTCGTCCGCCTGTCCGTCTGCCCATCTGTCCGTCTGTCTGCCCGTCTTTCCGTCTGTCCGTCCGTCCGTCCGTCTGTCTGTCTATCCGTCCGTCTGTCCGTCCGTCTGTCTGTCCGTCTGTCTGTCCGTCTGTCTGCCCGTCTGTCCGTCCGTCTGTCTGTCCGTCGGTCTGTCTGTCTGCCCGTCTGTCCGTCTGTCCGTCTGTCCGTCTGTCCGTCTGTCCGTCTGTCCATCCGTCCGTCCGTTCGTCCGCCTGTCTGTCGGTCCGTCTGTCTGTCTGTCTATCCGTCCGTCTGTCCGTCCGTCTGTCTGTCTGTCTGTCTGCCCGTCTGCCCGTCTGTCCGTCCGTCTGTCTGTCCGTCTGTCCATCCGTCTGTCCGTCTGTCTATCTGTCTGTCCGTCCGTCCGTCTGAAGCTATGAAAAGCAATGAAAAGCTTTAATCAATAGCTTTATTTCATAATAAACCTTTCCCTACATAGATTTCTTAAAGATTCTTTAAAAAAAAACCTTCCCAAACCCTCCCAAAAAGCTTTGCAGGGTAAGCGCAACTTCATCTTGATGGCGATCGCTGTCTCAATCACACTGACCGGTGCCTCGATTGTCGGACTCTCAAAAGTCATCAAACTATAGATTATTGTAGAATTTTTTGCAATTTTTCCTAATATTTTCATTATTCCTTTTCTTCTGATCTCTTTTTACATTCATTTCCTTTTTTTGGTTTCAGTTCAAATCTTTCCCTCTTTTCGTTTTTCACGTTTCAAAATTTGTGATTTAAATGAGCCTTTAAAATATTGAAGTTTTTTCGAGTTCAAAATGATTCAAAATTCGAGTTTAAAATTATTTTAGACTTAGAAAAAGATAAAAATAAAGATTTTTGATTTTTTTATCAAACAAATCGATTACAGAATTCGAATTTCGAATAAAGAATTTGGAGAAAATTCGAGATAAACTTTGATCTATTAGTCACTGTTTTAAGGAAGACAATGGCTTAACAGAAGCTCTCTAGACCTCTCTAGACCTCTCTAGACCTCTCTAGACCTCTCTAGACCTCTCTAGACCTCTCTAGACCTCTCTAGACCTCTCTAGACCTCTCTAGACCTCTCTAGACCTCTCTAGACCTCTCTAGACCTCTCTAGACCTCTCTAGACCTCTCTAGACCTCTCTAGAATTTCTAGCGAAAATCTAGCCAAGTTTAAGGCTAAAACTAAGCCCAAGGCTAACTGGGCTAAAACTAAGCCCAGTCTAAATTAATCTCAAGAATTTGAGCTCAACCCAAAAGAAATTGCTGCAAGGGGAATTGAACCCGAGCAAAAGAGGGTCCAGTTCGCTCTTGAACCAAGCCTCTTATCCACTAGACTACCGAGGGACCTGTCGGCCGAGCGTGTAAACGCCTCAAATAGATAGCGAAAGACTTTTTGAGCTGATTGCAAAAGATGTGGCTGCATGCGGAATCGAACCTGAGCAAGGCTCTCCCGGCCCGCTCTTGAAACAAGCCCCTTATCCACTAGACTACCGAGGAACCTTCTCGCAGAGCGGGTAAACGCCTCAAATAGATAACCAAAGGCGTTTTGAGCTCATGGTAAAAGATACGGCTGTAAGGGGAATCGAACCCAAGCAAAACGCTGACCAGCTCGTTCTTGAACCAAGCCCCTTATCCACTACACCACCGAGGGACCTGTTCGCCGAGCGTGTAAACGCCTCAAACGGATAACCAAAGACGTTTTTTCCTCTCTTTCTTCTCCCCTAATCAGTCGCTCGGTCCCCTTGCCCTTTAAACTCCAAAAGGAAAGCCTTATATACCCAAACGGTTTGCCTGATGGTGAGCGTTTACGCAACCACACAAAGAACATTTAGCCAGTCACTTACTGGAATTTCTCTTTTGTATGGCCGAAAAAAGATATTTAGCTGAAAATTTGTACCCAGGGGTTTTCGAGGCCGGAGAATCGATTGGCGATATTCATTTTATTGAACACGGGTTTTCTTCTCTTGAAAAAGCAATCGATTGTTGGGATGATTTCGATGAAAGAAAATATTGAAAGTCTTTTGAGAAAGCTACTTATGGACTTATAATGGACTACTAGAGGACTCTAGTAGTCCATTGTAAACTACTAGAGGACTACTAGAGGACTAGAGGACTACTAGAGGACTAGAGGACTACTAGAGGACCTGCCCCACCCTAGGGGACAAGGACTACTAGAGGACTACTAGAGGACTCTAGTAGTCCTCTAGTAGTCCATTGTCACTAGAAGGACTAGAAGAAATGAAATTGAAACGTTGAACATTCAAGAATTTGTTGAAAAAATATGCTTTGGTCCAAGAAAACGAATATCTGATTCCAGTGGACGCTTTCCCATTTTTCTATCCACCAATCCACTCACAAAGTTCCAGTTTTTCTCTTTCTTTCTCTCTTTCTTTCTTTCTATCTTTCTGTCCTTCTTTCTGTCCTTCTTTCTGTCCTTCTTTCTGTCCTTCTTTCTGTCCTTCTTTCTGTCCTTCTTTCTGTCCTTCTTTCTGTCCTTCTTTCTGTCCTTCTTTCTGTCCTTCTTTCTGTCCTTCTTTCTGTCCTTCTTTCTGTCCTTCTTTCTGTCCTTCTTTCTGTCCTTCTTTCTGTCCTTCTTTCTGTCCTTCTTTCTGTCCTTCTTTCTGTCCTTCTTTCTGTCCTTCTTTCTGTCCTTCTTTCTGTCCTTCTTTCTGTCCTTCTTTCTGTCCTTCTTTCTGTCCTTCTTTCTGTCCTTCTTTCTGTCCTTCTTTCTGTCCTTCTTTCTGTCCTTCTTTCTGTCCTTCTTTCTGTCCTTCTTTCTGTCCTTCTTTCTGTCCTTCTTTCTGTCCTTCTTTCTGTCCTTCTTTCTGTCCTTCTTTCTGTCCTTCTTTCTGTCCTTCTTTCTGTCCTTCTTTCCTTCTGTCCTTCTTTCTGTCCTTCTTCTGTCCTTCTTTCCCTTCTTCTGTCCTTCTTCTGCCTCCTGCCCCTCGCCTCTCCCTTCTGTCCTCTTTCTGTCCTTCTTCTCCTTCTTCTGTCCTTCTCTGTCCTTCTTCTGTCCTTCTTCTGTCCTTCTGTCCTTCTTCTGTCCTTCTTTCTGTCCTTCTTTCCTTCTGTCCTTCTTTCCAAATCTTTTGTGTAATATCCACACTCGTATTTGTCTCTTCCCTCCTTTCCCCCTTCAAAGTCCCACCATTTGGCTTATCCCCACTAGAAAAGTTCCCATTTTCTGATTTTGAAAATTTTTCAATGTTATTTCCTAAATCCACTTCTTACGAAATCAGATTTAACTCTAAAAGCTTAAACTTTTTGCGTTTTGTGTTTAGTTTCTTAAATTTTCTTTTGTTCATCGTTGAAGAAGTCTGTCCAAGTCTCAGATTGATCTTTGGCCGATCCGATCAAAGAACTAGCCGATCCAGACTAGTTCTTTCTATAAAATAACAATTCAGGATGGTGCCAAAGAAAAACGAGCAACCACACACGAAATTGGGTCAAGTTGATGACGATATTGCGAGCATTCATGCTAGAGTAAAGGTGAGGGAAAGATTTTATTATATTGGGGCAGCTTGGGTAATTAATAATAGAATTTTAGCTAATAAACTAGTAAATGAATAGAATCTACTATATAAAGCAGAAGAGACGTCTGTCTGTTTGTCTGTTTGTTCGTTTGTCTGTCGATTCCCGACGATCTGTACCAATCCGGAGTACACTCTCCCTTTAAGAACTTAATAGAGCTTTCTAGAGAAGACTTCAGAGTCAATCTAGCCTTCAGCGTCAAGCTAACCCTCAGAATCTCTAATGAATCTCAAAATCTCTCAAAACCTATCAAGGCCTTTTCTTCAGCTTTTCGAATATCCATTCGCGCATCAAGTGTTGAACTCGAAAATCGAGATATTCTGCTCATTTTGTATGCGACCACCAGTTGGGGATGAGAAGCTGATGAAATGTTCGGCTTGTAATCATGCAAGGTTTGTGTTCATCGTCCTTTACTGTCACAAGTCTTTCAATCGGTCCTAGAATCTTTCAATCGATCCTCAGAGCCTTTTGAGCTAAGCTTTTAAGCCAGGCAAGGCCTTAAAGCCAGCCAAGCCAAGTCAACCCAAGGCAAGCCAAAGCAGGGTAGGCAAAGTCAGAAATGAAGCCAAGGCCAGGATGAGGCCAAGGCCAAGGCCAGGATGAGGCCAAGGCTAGAATGAAGCCAAGGCCAAGGCCAGAAATGAAGCCAAGGCCAGAAATGAAGCCAAGGCCAGGATGAGGCCAAGGCCAAGGTCAGAAGTGAAGCCAAGGCCAGAATGAGGCCTAGGCCAAGGCCAGGATGAAGCCAAGGCCCAGCTTTGGTTTTGTGCCTGTAGTCTGTGACGTAACTGGATTCTTTTTCTATTTTTAAATCTTCAGATATTGCAACAAAGAATGTCAACGATTGGCGTGGAAGTTGCACCGAAATGAGTGCAAGAGACTACAAAAAGTGAGACTTTTTCAGTACTTTAAGCTCAAATCAGGGAAATAAACCTGGGCATTGAACTCTTGAGTTTTCTCTAGCTGGAGGAGGAAGAGCTAGAGCTAGAGCATTACGCTAGAGCTAGAGCCGCTAGAGCTAGAGCCGCTAGAGCTAGAGCCGCTAGAGCTAGAGCCGCTAGAGCTAGAGCCGCTAGAACTAGAGCACTGCTAAAGCCATACACTCCTTTCTTTCAGGTGTTCCCAAATCTTCCCCTCACCGAGGTTCTCTTTCAATCAAAAATCATCGATCGAGTGCTTTTCTTGAAAGATAATGGTGATAAATATGGATGGGAAAGGGAAAGACAATTTCAATCATTGATGGATCACAAAGATGAGATACGGTAGGAGAGTTAAAGCTTTATAAAAGGTATCCTCTGACTAGGGAGTACTAGGCCACTCCAAATCCAATACAAAATCGAACGCGGAATCCGAATCTCTAATCAAAATCTGCTGAATTGCTCGTAAACGCGAGATTTCTGAGGCAAACTTTACGAGACTTGAAAATTTTGAAAAAATAAAGATCTCTTAAAAATTTCCTTTGCTATAGCCGATCTGGAATGCATTCCACTTTCTAGAAAAATTTCGAGAGAAAATTTGAACTTTTGAAGAAGGCACTTTTTCTCGTTCTTTGTCAGGGCCCTAAACTGCGTTCCAGCTGGAGATTTTTGAATCTGACAATTTTAAGCTCTGAACTGGATTTCAGGACGGAGCCTTGCAAAGTTTTAGACTCAATTTAGCCGACCGACGAAAACTACCGTAGTCCAACTACTGTACCTCTAATACAATTTGTTGTTAAGTGACTGAATAAACTGGCTCATAAGTTTTCGTGACATCCAGATAGATCAAAAAAATTTGTTTCAATTAGCTGAATACTTTTTAATCCAGGGTATACTGTAGGCAAAAGACTGGGCTACCGTACCTATAATAAAATTTGTTGCTAAGTGACTGAATAAACTGGCTCATAAGTATTCGTGACATCCAGATAGATCAAAAAAATTGTTTTAGTCAAATAACCTTGCCTGAAACGCATCTTTTAAAAAATATAGTACACCTAAATAGTCTAAACTAGCTAAACAACACAAAACAACAAAACAAACTAAACAAAAAGACCATTTTCAGCCAAGACAGCTTCAAGATGGATTACTTCGAGAAAATCCTCAACAAAATGACGACATTTAGAGGAGATGAGATGCCGGATCGGGTAAAGAACTCAAAGAATTCAAATCGTTCATAAATAATATAAAGCTGAAGCTTTTAGGAAACCTTTTTCGACATTTTCTGCAAAGTGCAAATCAACTCGCACTCGATTCACACAAATGCGGGCAATGAGGCCGGGATGGCGCTGGATTTGGGCGAGTTACATGAGTGTTCCCAAAAGAAATTCCCGGATTAGCCCAGAAAGCAGATTTGACTTTTTCATTGTTTTATGTGACATCCAGCTTGCACCCTGAGATAATAAAAATAACTGGCAGCCTTGTCAGTTTTGGATAAAACTGGACCGGGAGTGTCGGATCAAATTCGAGATTTCTAAAAAGTTAGCCCTGTCGTTTTAAACTTTTTCATTGTTTGTTGTGACATCCAGCTTGCACAATGGGATATTAAAAAGTCTTGCTTGACCTTTCATAGCCTGTCCATAAGCTTGGACAAGTAAAACAGGAATTGTACTCGGCTTTCGGGAAAATCCTGCTAAAGTCTTTCAACAATCTACCATTTTGCAGGTGTCTCAAAGTTCAACCACTCTTGTCGGCCGACTTGTTCAATGGTTTTCGACGGGTTTCGCGTTGTGCTCAGACCGCTGGTGCCCGGCGTGGATACAGGTTCAGAGTTTTTGCTGAACACCGGCAATAGCCTTAGTAGTAGGATTGTCGTAGATTTGTGCATAGAATTGTCGTGTAGTATCTGTAGTATCTGTAGAACGTGTAGAACGTGTAGTACGTGTAGAAAATGTAGAGCAATCTGCAGAACATCGTGATGATTCATTTTTAAAGTAAAATCTGCAAATTATGATCGAAATCCAGAAATTCAGTAAAAAAGGTATTCAGCCGACTTCGACAAAGCTTTCATTTCGTACATAGACGTTGGACGGAGTAAATATGTGAGACGGAAAGAGTTGAAGGTAGATTTGGTCTTTGGATTTGGTACATTTTGGTCGAACACAAACTAGGGAAACTGTTTCAAATTGGCAATGCTATTCAGCTACTTACAGACCTGCTATTTAGCTACTTTTTACTGTTACTTAGCTTCTTAGGCGAACTGTTATCTAGCTTTTTAATGTTCCTTAGCTTCTTAACGAACTGTTATCTAGCTTTTTACTGTTACTTAGCTTCTTAGGCAACTGCTATTTAGCTTTTTAATGTTACTTAGCTTCTTAGCGAACTGTTATCTAGCTTTTTACTGTTACTTAGCTTCTTGGTGAACTACTATTTAGCTTTAGCTTTAGATTTAGCTTCTATAGACACTTTAAAATACTTAAAAATTCATTTTAGTGGTTTAACAAAAAAAGCAAAAAAAAATTTTGACAGTGAAAGGATTCGAACCCGGGAGGTCTCGAGGGAAAGCAGAGCCAGAGGCTAGCACACTATCCACTACACCATCCAGTCATTGCTGAGGCGAAAGTAATTAAGCCTTATACCGCAGCGAGGTCGTATTCAAAGCCCAAATTTCATTTTTTTCAACAATTTCTTCAACAAGTTTCTTTAAAACAGAAAATTTTGTTCTATAAACAGTGGCCAGATAGTGTAGTGGATAGTGTGCTCGGCTTGTGAGCTGGTTATCCCTGGTTCGAATCCCCTCACTATCAAAATTTTCATCGAAACTATCAAAACCTTTTTGCTTTCTTGTTAAACTATTAAAATCAATTTTTACGTGTTTTAAAGTAATGGTAAGCTACTGTACCTCTAATAAAATTTGTTGTGAAGTGACTGAATAAACTGACTCATAAGTTTTTGTGACATCCAGATGGATCAAAAAAATTGTTTTAATTAGCTGGATACTTTTTAATCCAGGGTATACTGTAGCCAAAAGACCGGGCTACTGTACCTCTAATAAAATTTGTTGTTAAGCAACTGAATAAACTGGCTCATAAGTTTTCGTGACATCCAGATAGATCAAAAAAATTGTTTTAATTAGCTGGATACTTTTTAATCCGGGGTATACTGTAGCCAAAAGACCGGGCTACTGTACCACTAAGAAAATTTGTTGTTAAGCAACTGAATAAACTGACTCATAAGTTTTCGTGACATCCAGATAGATCAAAAAAATTGTTTTGATTAGCTGGATCCTTTTTAATACAAGGCATACTGTGACCAAAAGACCGGGCTACCGTACCTCCAATAAAATTTGTTGTTAAGTGACTGAATAAACAGGCTCATAAGTTTTTGTGACATCTAGATAGATCAAAAAAATTGTTTTAATTAGCTGGATACTTTTTAATACAGGGTATACTGTAGCCAAAAGACCGGGCTACCGTACCTCCAATAAAATTTGTTGTTAAGTGACTGAATAAACTGGCTCATAAGTTTTCGTGACATCCAGATAGATCAAAAAAATTGTTTTAATCAGCTGAATGATAAGTAATGGAATTTAAAGACAAACAGTAATTGAGTAAAAGTGAAAAACGAATCCCATAGAATTTTAAAGCCAATTTTTGCGCTTAGTGCTAAGAATCAATGCTAAGAGAAAGCAGTTTTTCCTCTCTCTTAACAATGAACTCTCTCCTTTTCCTAGGCTCGATGGTTTTTCGATTGCGAATGCTCGCGTTGCACTGATTCTGGTGATGACATTTTGACGGCAATCAGGTTTTTTTGAAAAAAAAACTATTATGATCTATGATTCTAAACTTCAGATGCTCAAATCCTTGCTGTGAACAAGCTCTGGTCGTCACGGAAACCTCGGATCCGTGCTATATCGCTTGTCCGAAGTGTGGATCGATGACTGATGACGATACGGTGAAAGTGCGTTTCTAACAAAGCCGATTTCTAACAAAGCTGATTGAGAATCTCTTCAGAATCGAATTGGAGTCTTTTCTTAGAAAAAAATGGTTAAAATAAACCCGGGCAATAGATTCTACGACCTTGAAAACCCCTGGCAACAGATTTTTAAACATTAAATGACATTTGGGAACATTTACAGAACAAAATAATGACCATTATGGCTGGCAAAGTGTTCTTTGTGCGGTCTGGTAATCGCTCGCGATCTGGCAAACTGTTTGGGTAGATAAGGCTTTCATTTTCCTGGGAGAAAGAGAGGTGAAAGAGTGAGCGAACCTTGCCGGCCTGCTATCCATTTAAGCCGGCCCGGCTCCATGGCTCATTTGGGCCGTTTACAAGCTCGGCAAAGAGGTTCCGTGGTGGTGTAGTGGATAAGAGGCTTGGTTCAAGAACGATCTGACCAGCCTTTTGCCCGGGTTCGATTCCCCTTGCAGCCAAATCTTTTACCTAATCTCAAAAAGTCTTTGGCTATCTATTTAAGGCCTTACACACTCCTGGAACAGCTCCCTCGGTAGTCTAGTGGATAAGAGGCTTGTATCAAGAACCAGCTACCCTCTCTTTTGCTCGGGTTCGATTCCCCTTGCAGCTAAATCTTGTAAACTGCATGAAAAGCTATAATAATCATTTAGAACTATAATAATCATGTAGAACTATAATAATCATTTAGAACTATAAATCCTCTTGATTTTCCAGAACGCTCAACAGCTAATGCTTTCCCTGCCGGCTCAATTCGATCCAGAATGTCCAGCTGATAAAGTAAGGAAAAAACTAGCAATTAAATGAGATTTTCAGATAAAACAACTCTCGAAAAGCAAAAAGGAGCTCGAAAAACAGGCATAGGCTTTGAAAAGAGAATAATGATTGAATCCTTGATCTTAATTATCGAACCCTTGATCTTAATTATCGAACCATTGATCTTAATTATCGAACCATTGATCCAAAATCACGAATTACCCCAAAATCGACACGAGATTTGCCCAAAAAACTAACAAATAACAAAGATTTTGAGGTTTATATTGTAAAGCAAGGCATCAAAAGCTCCTAAAAGCTCTTTTGAAGCTCTTAAAACCTATCAAAAGACTTTTGAAGCTCTTAAAAGCTATCTAAAGTCTTTTGAAGCTCTTCAAACGGATCTAAAGCTTCAAAGAACCTTCAAAAGCTTTGTTTTCCTTTATTTTCACATCAAAAGATCAATTTAAACGAATTTAAACGAATTTTAAACCAATTTTAGACCAATTTTAGCCAATTTTAGCCAATTTTAGCCAATTTTAGCCAATTTTAGCCAATTTAAACCAATTTAAACCAATTTAAACTAACAAATAATAATTTTAAAAGCTTAAAAGTTAAAAGCAGCTAAAAACAGCTAGAAGCAGCTAGAAGCAGCTAGAAGCAACTAGAAGCAGCTAGAAGCAGCTAGAAGCAGCTAGAAGCAGCTAGAAGCAGCTAGAAGCAGCTAGAAGCAGCTAGAAGCAACTAGAAGCAGCTAGAAGCAGCTAGAAGCAGCTAGAAGCAGCTAGAAGCAGCTAGAAGCAGCTAGAAGCAACTAGAAGCAGCTAAAAGCTGAAATTTCAAATTAAACAAAGAAATAAAGCTTTTTGTTTAGATTTCTAAATTTCCAGATTTCTAGATTTCTAGTTTCTTTAAAACTATCGTAATCGAGTCTCTAGATAGCTTAGATAGCTTAAATTTAAAAACGATTAAGAATAAGGTGAGTTTTTTCTAAAAAAACCACGAATCTAGCCTCTAGGTAAGCCTAAAAAGTTTTGTTTAGCTGAAATCCTTTGAGACTGGTTAAAGATTAAAAAAACAAGGAAAAGAGCTAACGAAATCTTTTCCAACCTACATGAAAAACGCAGAATTTTCTGCTGATTCCAAATATATATTCCGTTTTTTCCCAATGGCAATCTGTCACAAGTTACAAGCGTTTAAAGTTTGCTTAAGAAAATGTGGATTCTTGCGGACCCGAGGGTGTTAACGGCTTTCTGGCCGAGCTATCTCGCTAGACCTTTGGCCGAGTGGTAAATCGCTGGTTGCTAAAGCGAGACCTTGCGAGTTCGATCCCACCATTGGTTTTTTCTTTGCTTTTTTCGGTCTTAATGGCTTCTGATGGTCTTAATGGCTTTCTGGTCAACCGGTTGCAGTGCCGGCTTAGCCAAATGGTAAATCGCTCGTTTCTAAAGCGGGACCTCGCAAGTTCGATCCACCATTGGATTCTCTTTTGCCTTGAAGTTATTTCGGTCTTAAATGGCTTGACGCAATGGTCTTAACGGCTTTCTAGCCAACCAATCTCGCTGCATCTTTGGCCGAGTGGTAAATCGCTCGCTTCCAGAGCCAAACCTCGCAAGTTCGATTCCACCATTGGATTTACTTTTGCTTTGAAGCTATTTCGGTCTTAAACGGCTTCTTTGCGGAACGGATGGTCTTAATGGCTTCCTAGCAGACCGGTCTCGGTGCAGGCTTGGCCGAGTGGTAAATCGCTCGCTTCCAGAGCCAAACCTCGCAAGTTCGATCCCACCATTGAATTTTTCTTTTCTTTTTTTCAAGTGAAGTGTTCTTTGTAAGAAAGCACTCCCCAATTTCCCTTGGTTCATCACGGGATCTGTTTAAAAACTGTTTAAAACAAAGAAAAACCCCAAAAACTAACAGATAACAGATAATCTGGTTATTAGATAATAATTAGCTCAAATTTAGCTCCGAGAAATGCTATCTTCCGCTGAATCAATTCTGCATCCGATGAATGTCTACATTGCTCGATTGAGAACCGCTCTCTATCATATCACTGGATCGTTAGAAGAAAATATCTCAAATATTCATAAACAAGTCTACGAGAATTATAAGCTGTAAGTGGAAGAAAATGAGAGAAAATGAAAGCCTTATATACCTAAGCGGTTCGCCAAATGACGAGCGATTACAAAACCGCACAAAGAACATCTAGCCAGTCATTTATCCGGGTTTTTCTTTTGTTTGTAGATCGTGGAAAAAGAAATTTAGCTCTAAATTTGTACCTAGGGGTTTTCGAGGCCGCAGAATCGATTAGAGATATTCATTTTATTGAGGCCATTATGTAGAAATAGAATTTTTCATAGAGTTTTAAGAGTCATTTGCAGAGTTGATCGATTTATCAGAATTAATCGATTTATCCAATTTCAGCTGTTTCCCAAAAGCCGATCGTCATGTCGGCTATCAATTGCTGCACATTGTGAAAGCGCTTATCGAACAAGAGAAGCGAGATGATGTATGGAGAAAAGAAGAGAGAAGACTCTTCTTCCTCTTTCTCCTCTTCTCCCTCTCCTTCCTCTTCTTCCTCTTCTTCCCCTTCTTCTTCTTCCTCTCCTTCCTCTTCTTCCTCTTCTTCCCCTTCTTCTTCTTCCTCTCCTTCCTCTTCTCCATCTTCTTCCCCTTCTTCTTCCTCTCCTTCCTCTTCTCCATCTTCTCCCTCTTCTTCCCTCTTCTTCCTCTTCTTCCTCTCCTTCCTCTCCTTCCTCTTCTTCCTCTTCTTCCTCTTCTTCCCCTTCTTCTTCTTCCTCTCCTTCCTCTTCTCCCTCTTCTCTAACTTTTCTTATCGAACAAATTTCAGGCTCGTCCTTACGCGTTTGATGCGATGAACATCTTTGAGGTCTGTTTCGGACTCGATCATCCATATTATCTTCAAACGCTCGCCCTTTGGACCTACTTGGATCAACAGGTAGACTTGTACTTTGTGCTCAAACTTTGTAAAAGTTTCTGCTCTGGTGCACTGAATTCCTGATTTTCGGGATTCCGAGGCGAGGAAAAGGCTGATTCGCGCTTAAAAGCGTGCCCGGCTACCGTAACCCAAACGGCTACTATAACCCAGACAGTTACTGTAACCGCTATCGTAACCCAAATGGCTACCGTAACCCAGACAGCTATCGTAATCGCTACCGTAACCTAGACAGCTACCGTAGCCCAGAAAGCTACCGTAACCCAGACAGCTACCGTAACCGCTACCGTAACCCAGACAGTTACCGTATCTGCTACCTAGACAGCTACCGTAACCGCTACCGTAACCCAGACAGCTATTGTAATCGCTACCGTAGCCCAGACAGCTACCGTAGCCCAGACAGCTATCGTAATCGCTACCGTAACGTCTACTGTAACCCAGACAGCTACCGTAACCGCTATCGTAACCCAGCTACAGTAGCCAGGTCAAGGTTGGCCTTTAGCCTACTTTAGGACCAGTCTAAGTCCTCCATAGTCCCAGGGTCAACCTGTAGCCGATATTAATAGCTATTCTAGTGTTAGTGGCTTCTCGACGCTAAAGTGACCCTAGAAAGCGCTACCGTATCCAGTTTCGACGGGAAAGCATACTGTAAGTGATACGATCACGGTACTGTAGCTGTCTAAAATGAAAACAAATAGAAGGGATCGAACCCGAGCAAAAATTTGGTGGTTCGTTTTGGAAACAAGTCTCTTATCCACTACACCACGAGGGGATATTTCTAGGCGGTGAAAGAAGCGTTGTATAGGCTTCTGGTTCATTTTTGACTTTAAACTATTATCATTATCTTTCTTTCTCTCTTCTTCCCCTTGTCTTTCCCTTTTTCTCTCGCCCGCTCAAGCTACCAAATAGCTCAGTCGGTTAGAGGTCATTGGCCGGGAAGCGAGAGGTCTCTAGAGGGGGGTCGAGGGTTCAATCCCATCTCCAAAATTCTTTTCAATTTCTTTTTTACCTTTACTTTTCCAGTCTCCAAAGACGAAAGAAGAGTTGATTTCATTGACGAATTTCAACGATAATCGCCGCATCAATATCGAGGCACTTTTGGAGAAAGCTTCTCAACTCAGCACCCAAAAAATCATTCTTCCATCATAGAAACGCAAAATTTTTGTTTTTTTTCACGTTTTCACGTTTTCTCGTTTATCAGAATAAAAGAATCGAGTACAAATGTACAGATAAAAGCAATTTCTACAAGAAAAAAAGCTCATAACGCAAGTGATATCACAGTTTGGATCGATGTTGATCGATAAGAAAATCAAAAATGGAAAAAAAAAAAATCGCCGAATCTTTTAAAAATCAAATAATTTATATGTCGTAGCCGATTATGAATGAAAATTTTTGGTTAAACCTTTCTAGTAGAGAAACCCTTTAATGTATGAGGACAATATTATACCATCTTGTAGCGATTTGAATTCTGCGTCGATTGGTACCAAATTTGTGAGTTTAGGTTAAAAATTGCCGGCGCTACAACGTTTCATTCAAATATCGGCGGGACCCTCGTAGCCGGAATATGAATGAGTGGGTCTAGGAGCGTCCAACCATCAGATTCTGAGTCTTCAGCTCACTCTTCAGCTGATCCAGGACCTTCAGCTGACTCTGAACCTTCAGCTGACTCTTCAGCTGATCCAGAACCTTCAGCTGACTCTTCAGCTGATCCAGAACCTTCAGCTGACTCTTCAGCTGATCCAGAATCTTCAGCTGACTCTTCAGCTGATCCAGAATCTTCAGCTGACTCTTCAGCTGACTCTGAACCTTCAGCCGACTCTTCAGCTGATCCAGAATCTTCAGCTGACTCTTCAGCTGATCCAGAATCTTCAGCTGACTCTGAACCTTCAGCCAATGAATTAGTAGACCTAGAAACCTCCAACCATCAAGTATTTGGTATCATTCAACGCAGAATCATTGATAATTATGTTAAATTTTTAAAATTAGCAAGATTTGATAAAAAGAAAAAAAATTAGAGCAAAAAAACTCTTTGTTCAAGAGAAAACTTTGAAGCTCCATAATTTTTTTCTTTTTATCCAATCTTTCTAATTTTAAAAATTTAACATAATTATTAATGATTCTGCGTTGAATGTTACTAAATACTTGATGGTTGGAGGTTTCTAGATCTACTAATTCATTGGCTGAAGGTTCAGAGTCAGCTGAAGAGTCAGCTGAAGGTTCTGGATCAGCTGAAGACCCAGAATCTGATGGTTGAACGCTCCTAGACCCACTCATTCATAATCGGCTACGACATATAAATTCGGACTTAGAAAACTAAGAAAATCACTTACCATAAAGTTTAGTTATTTGAATAGTTTGAAATTAGTTAGTTTTGAAGTTAAGTTACGATATTTTTTGGGTGGGGCCCCCCCCCCCCCCCCCCCCCCCCCCCCCCCCCCCCCCCCCCCCCCCCCTCTTGTCCCATGGCAAGAGCCCACTCATATTTTTTTTTTTTTAATGGTCTGCCTTTTTTTTTTTTTTTTTTTTTTTTCCTTCCCTCCCCCATACAACCCCTTTTTTTTTTTTTTTTTTTTTTTTTTTCCCCCCAAAAGTTGATTTAAATCTAGTTAAATCTCATCAAACATGTGCCACTTCTTCTTCTTCATTTTCCTCTTCCTCTTCCTCTTCCTCTTCCTCTTCCTTTTCCTTTTCCTCTTCCTCTTCATTCGCAAATTTCATTAAAGCAGGGAATTCTTTTTGCAATAAACGTCGAAGCATTTCATCTTCTTCACCATAATAAGTGTGCTCACATAAGGAAAGTACCTGAAATGATCATTTATGAAACCTATTGGGTTGGTGAATTGAAAACTGCTGGCTATTGTTATAAATGACAGTTTGAGCACTTTCTTCAAAAGAAACCCACTTTGGTGTCAATGGAAAAGTTGTAGAGAATCAAAAATCAAATTTATATCCAAATTTTCAGTGCGATTGAAAAACTGGTTTTCAAGAAATGCCAAATTTACATTTACAAATTTACAAATTTCACAAAACTTGCATTTTAAGCGAAACTACAAAGTGTATCTTTTTGTAAATTTAGCTATAAGCCTAATTTTTGATTCTCTACAACTTTTCCATTGACACCAAAATGGGTTTCTTTTGAAGAAAGTGCTCAAATTGTGCTCAAACTGGGACATCTCCAGTCCTCCATTCTCCAGTCCAGTCTGAGTCTCACAGTCTCACACTTGTCTCACACACAAAGCAAAATCCTACCACGAAAGAGGAGTCCCTTAAATTGCCTATAAAATGGGCAGAAGTCGTCAATTTTGAATTTGTTAAATTTTACTTCAAACTCCCGCAATTTTCAACTCACCAAACCCAATATTTTAAGCTTTTAAACAGTCGACGAAAGCTAGATTCTGAAACCTGGGTAACGGTAAATGATGCGCTGTACGTGTGCGCATCGTTATTCGTCTTTGCCGTCGAGAGATGCTGAAGGTATTCGACCCAAATTTGCAACATAAACTCATCACACTGAGCATGACAAGGAGAACTGAAAACTTTACGTTGTTCACTTCAAGCTGAAGATGTTTTAAGTTCGATTTAAGATCGATTCAAGAGAGCCATTTTTTCCAAATCAACTCACCCAGCCAACTTCTCTAAATCTTTTGCCAGCGTGTAGGAGACGCGGGCAAAGTGAAGAGTATGCTGTAAAACATTGAAATTTACATTTACATTCAGTTTTACAGTACATGTGTCGTAGATTTATAACAAAAACATCTCTCGATTCTTTTTGCCATTAACAATCCAGGGTTTTTCATCTTTTTCTCAGCATCAACCTTTCAGTTTTGACTATTTTAACTACCATTCGATGCAGAATGAAATTGCGCGTCGAATGCTACCAAAAACAACTCAAAATATAATATCCATGCAAAGTTATGAGAAGGAACGTCCATAGTGGATGGGGTTTAGGTTTTTAGCCAACAACTTTGCATGGATATTATATTTTGAGTTGTTTTTGATATCATTCGATGCAGAATGAAATTGCGCGTCGAATGATACCAAAATCAACTCAAAATATAATATCCACGCAAAGTTGTTGGCTAAAAACCTAAACCCCGCGGGACTTAACCTTTTTCCTCATAACTTTGCATGTGTATTATATTTTGAGTTGTTTTTGGTATCATTTAAAGCGCAATTTCATTCTGCATCGAATGATAGTCCAGATAGGTGAAATCAAAGGGCTGGTGCTGAGAAAAAGACGAAAAACCTTCACCTGCCAACGACAAAAAAGGATCGACAGACATTTTCTTTAAAAAAAATACATGTATTCACATGAATTTGTACCACGAATAATTTGGTACACAACAATACACACAAACACACCTCTAAACCCATAAAAAAAAACTCATACTGCAAATACTGTAATAGTACCCGACCCCCATAATGAGCGGTGCGGAGTGTTGCGTAGTCTAGCTTTGAACGAGTTTTTCTCGGCACTGATTTATGCTACAATGCGCGTTTAGGTATCAAAAAATAGCTGAGATTCAGGGCTATTTTTTAATACCAAAGACGCATTTTTTGAAAGTACGGGCGCTTTGAAAAACAATGATACTAAAAAATACTAAAAAAATTTTTACGACTACGCGACTGTACGACTGTACGAGGGGGGTGGGGTACTATTACCGTATTTACGGTATCTATGAGAAAGGAGTCCCAATAATCTAGCCGGGATTAAACCCATTAACCTCGCGACACCAAGATACAGCTCTGTAGAGCCATAAAAAGCTCTGTAGAGCTCTTCGTCAATCGATGATGACGATCATTTTCTTACTCTAGTTACTCTACTCTAGCGCTTTCAATTACCTGTGAGATATTTAAAGCTGCTCGTCCGGCAATCGCCCATTCGATTGATAAACCCAAATCCGATAGCTCTTCCACTAAACGAGACAACGCCGATTCACTATCCAGAATTAGGGGACGCCATTTTTCTTCCTGAAAATCAAGACACGATTTAAAATCAAGAGTTATCAAGTTATCAAATTATCAAATTATCAAATTTAAGTCTATAACTCTACTATTATTGATTCTTCGTGAAAATTCGAGTCTTTTCATTCGGGTGAAAAAAAAGACGAGTCTTTTCATTGTGATAAGTTATCATATGCAAAACCGAAAGTCAATCTCGATTCTCTTGGGACAAAGAGTTAACAGTACTTTAACAGTACTTTAACAATACTTTAACAATACTTTAACAGTACTTTAACATTACTTTAACATTACTTTAACATTACTTTAACAGTACTTTAACAGTACTTTAACAATACTTCCACAGTACTTGAGCAGTACTTTAACAGTACTTTAACATTACTTTAACATTACTTTAACAGTACTTTAACATTACTTTAACATTACTTTAACATTACTTTAACATTACTTTAACAGTACCTTAACAGTACTTTAACAGTACTTTAACAGTACTTGAGCAGTACTTTAACAGTACTTTAACAATACTTTAACAATACTTTAACAGTACTTTAACAGTACTTTAACATTACTTTAACATTACTTTAACAGTTTTTCTTTTTTTTTCATTTGATTCTTGTATTCGGACACATCTCCTACACGTAAATCATTTCATTTTCTTTCAAAATCATCAAAATATTCATCACTTTAACAGCTCAAAAACAGCTAAAAACAGCTAAAAAGCAGCTAAAAAGCAGCTACAATACAGCTAAAATTAAGGGAAAAATCGATCACAAAAATTTTCTTTGAAAAAGAATCGAATTGTCTTTCGTTTTCTTGTATCTGATCCACTTTTCAAGATCCAAATTTTTTCAAGTCCCAAAAAAACCCCTATTTTATAAATAATGCAATATAATTTATTGCAATAGACATTTCATTTGTAAACGCACCCTTTCTAGTGTACTCAATTCTCCAATTTCTCACAACGATGATTTGTCATTTCATCAGAAAAATCAAGAAATCTTTCAATGCACCAGAAGGTTTTCGAGATTCAAGCATAAAGAGTTACTTTCGAAACAAACACACCGCCATTCTCGTTCTCAATCCGTGCATCACATTTTGAAAATTCGTCTCAAGCGCCATTTTCAGCGATGGTCCAAGTAGGCGATTCACCTGAAAGTAAGCAAGATTGCAAAGAAAAGCAAAGAAAAGCAAAGTAAAGCAAAGAAAAGCAAAGAAAAGTAAAGAAAAGCAAAGAAAAGCAAAGAAAAGCAAAGAAAAGCAAAGTAAAGCAAAGAAAATCAAAGAAAATCAAAGAAAAGCAAAGAAAACTCTTATCCAACCTCAAACGTTAGTTGAACTCCCATGCTTGTCAATTCATCACAACTTTGCATCAAGATGCGCCATGTGTAGGCGAGAACGGCTGTCGTTGGGGCCACTTCTGAATGAGTTTTCTCTTTGGGTACAGTAGTTTATGTACAGTAGTCATAGTCTAAAAGCATGAACACATTTCCAGAAATATACACGCCAACCGTACGCTACAGTACTTTACTACAGTAACGTAAAGTCGGGCCTCAAGTTGCTCAGGCTAAATCAAAAGCTAAGCTATGACTTTTTCGTGATCTACCTGGTACTATATTCAAAGAAAAAACGAAAAAACAATACGATTTTCATATTACAGTAATCCGGTGCTATTACCGGATCCAGATCTGGCTTCTGGCTAACACTGTTACTTTTTATGTCAACAAAATCCAGTGCCAAGCATCAAGCACTTTCGGAGTAGAACTCACCAATCACATGACGTCTCACCAGCGACAACAGCATACTCAACTCGATCGAGCACCATTGAAGAACCTAAATCTTCTCTCGTCATCCAATGCATTATGATAATGAAATCTATTCTCTAATTTCATCAAAAAGTCAATCATTTTTCCTACCTGACAATAGTGTTCGGGTTGCGAGCGAAACTCTGTGGCCACATCGGCCACCGCCGTGCAATAGAGGGCCGAGAGTTGCTTCACGTAGCTAAATTTCTAACTAACATACTATAGAAAGATGTCTTATATCTCAATAAATCTCTCTAATATCCGTAGCTTATTTTCTAGTATTTTTTTGTTTCTCTCAAACCTCAACGGCTCCTCACTCACAGCCACATCTCGGCAAGCGCTTCTTTGAAGCGCCGATCGTCGTCGTAGATAAAGATCCACCGCATAGGTGCCTAAGAATATAATTATATCGATATAAATCGATATATTTAAATATAATTCTATTTCTCACCTCGATCCAATTGTTTCAGTAACGAGATCGCCTTTTTCATGGCTCGAGGACCACCGTGAACGGCACCCGGCCGTCGGATGTCCTCGGATAGGAGACCGATTATCTAAAGAATTATAGTGATAGCATAGATTTTAGCTTTCTGAAATCCACAGTATCTTGTTCTACAGTAGCTACAGTAGGCACAGTAGCTACAGTATCCACAGTAGCTACAGTAGCTACAGTAGCAGTATATACGATAGTTTTGCTCTCACAGTTTGGAGTAAAAAAAGCAAAAGCAAAATCCAAATTGGGGGTCCAACTCGTGAGGTCTCGCTCTGAAAACGAGCGCTGTACCACTAGGCCACGGCTGCACCGGACACCGGTTCGCCAGGAGGCCGCTAAGACCATCGGGTCCGCTAAGACCCAAATGACCACATTTTCCTAACAAAACTTTGGACACTTATAACTCCTGGCAGACTATCATTTAGCAAAAGCTGAATACATATTCGGAATCAGCATAAAATTCTGCGTCTATGTATAGCTCGGATAACATTTTCGCTCAGTCCGTTCTTTTTAGTCACAGCATCGTTATATATCTAGACAACCCCTAGCCAAGCTACAGTTAGATAAGTGAAGACTCCTGTCGACTACTGTAGCTGGTGTGCGCACAGTTGGAGACTACTGTAGCTAGTGCAAGTTCTAGTTGTAACCAAGGGTACACCCACGACAATTCAAGACCAAGCCAGGTACACGTCGGAAGCTAGGTCCTAGAGCCAGGCTAGGTCCTCTAGCTTCAGAGCCTGATCCGGGAAATGGTTTTCAAAAAAAAAAAACCCAACCTGTTGTTCTCGTTGCTGCATTTGAGTGTCGACAGCGGTCAACTTCGCATTGCACTCTTTCCACTGCATTACAAGATCCACAGCCTATATAAATGTCGAGTTGAAATCAAAAGAAAAGCTTATCTCCTCCAGTACCTGTTCGATATCCCGATTCGCGATACAATCATCGACCTCAGCTGGAAGAGCCTCTAGCCAAGCCGTTTCTTCTTCATCTGAATTTAGAATTTAGAATTTAGAATCATAACTGAATCACTATCACTATAGGATATGCAGTGAATTCTCTTATCTTTATCTTTATCTTTATCTTTATCTTTATCTTTATCTAACTATCTTTCTTTTTTTGACGATATCTATTTTATCTCTTTTCTATAATAGTATTCAATATTGAATATAAATCTATAAATCTATGAAAACTCACTTATTGACACATTTTCATCCAAATCATCGGCGATCACGGCTAATGGAGATCGGGCCGTTGAAGAGGCCAACCCTGCAGCTCTCGTTTGAACGGATTGACGCCGACCCCGGATTGTGGCTTGTCTAAAAGATTTTGTAGGAAAAGTTGATGTTGATTTTGATGTTGATGAAAAAATCAAAGCCAGCACCAGTAATCCCTTTACTAAAATCGAATGAAAAACATTTTCAAACTCACCTCTGTAAACTTCCTTCTTGTAACAAAGCTCTTTTCGCATTTTCGATCTCATCCAACCATTGTTTCTTGATACGAGCCGATTCACAGCGGTAATATCTGAAAGATGAAAGATATGATTTGAGTAAATCAAATTCTTGAGGTTAAACTAAGATTTTCTATAGCGAAAAGGGCGTCCAAATGGTTTGATAGAAAGTCGTGAGTGATACAACGGTAATTCTAAACTCTGTACAATTGTAAAGCTCTAATAACATCAGCTAACTCTAGATACAGCTACAATAACTCTAGATACAGCTACAGCAACTCTAGCTACAGCTACAGCAACTCTAGCTACAGCTACAACAACTCTAGCTACAGGTACAACAACTCTAGCTACAGCTACAACAACTCTAGTTACAGCTACAACAACTCTAGTTACAGGTACAACAACTCTAGCTACAGGTACAACAACTCTAGCTACAGCTACAACAACTCTAGCTACAGCTACAACAACTCTAGCTACAGCTACAACAACTCTAGCTACAGGTACAACAACTCTAGATCCAGCTAAACACCTAGTTACAGGTACAATACTCTGCCACAGCTCGCAACTCTAGCTACAGCTACAGCAACTCTAGCCACAGCTACAGCAACTCTAGCTACAGTTACAACAACTCTAGATACAGCTACAACAACCCTAGCTACAGCTACAGCAACTCTAGCTACGGCTACAACAACTCTAGCTACAGCTACAATAACAATTTAATCACAAAATTTACCGATGCTCTGGAAAGATCAACAATTTGATGAGTTGATCCGCGGAGGCCATTCCACGACTCTCTCGATCTTTCACATTCACCGCAGCAAGAGCATTGAGTGAGAATGATGATTCAAGACTGAAAAATGGATTTGTTTGGTTGGTTGGATAAGAATGGATAAGAATGAATCAAAAATCAATTGATTAACTGATTGTATCTGAAAAATCTTTTAACTTTTATCAATTTTCACCTGTACTTCCCGTTGGCACTCGGATTCCCGACCAGAAGTCGATCATTCAACAGGATAAGCATCTAAAAGTTCGCGTTTCTCACTTAGGTACAAATATTTCTTCTAAAATCTAAGACATTCATTACATTTAAGACATTCAGCGCATTTAAGACATTCAGTCCATTTAAGACATTTAAAAAGCTATTTAAGATATTTAATACATCCTGTACAATGTGTACAATGTACAATCATGTACTCATCAAAAGTTTTTTTACTTTTTTTCTATAAGCATGAATTTTTTGACTTGAAAAACTCATGAATTACGGAAAACTAGGGGGGTGGGACAAATGCGACCTTTTTTTGCGCACCTGGACATTCGCGCACCTTTTTTTTGCTGGAAAAGGCCTTAGAGCTTCGAAAATATTTCCGTATAAGGGAATCGTATGCGTAAATTCCGAATTTCGACAAATCAAACCTCGCTGACACATCAAATTTGGGCTAAAAGGCAAAAACTGCGGAAAAGCGTTAAGTTGCTAGTTTTTGCCTTTTAGCCCAAATTTGTACGTGTACGAGGTCTTTGTCGAAATTCGGATCCACGCATACGATTCCCTTTCTATGAAACTTTTTTTGAAGCTCGACACTTTCCTGAGGCCTTTCGCAAAAAAAGGTGCCCATGAATTTCCAGGTGCGCAAAAGGTCGCAGCCCACCCAAAACTAGCACCAAATTCTAAAAATTTAAATATTTTTACCCCAATTTTGCTCATTTTCAGATATTTTTCTACTCAATTTTGCTCATTTTCATCAAAAAATTTCAACTCTCAACATCTTTTTGTCTAGAATTTTTTACATTCTTCGTCTGGTTATTGAAAATTTTTGCGAAATTTGACTTCAACATTGTAGAATGAGGATTTTTCTCCAAAAACTATTGCTATCATTTGCTAGATTTAGGGTTTTTTTTTGCTTGAAAACAGCTTGAAAACAATAAACTCAAAAATAAAGAAAAAAAAATGAATGTTCTCAAAAACGAAAGATTTTCAAGCGATTTTCATTCAAGCACTCAAATCTGAAAAGCAAAACAAAAAAGCGCTGTGACGCTAAACAAACCCAAGTAAACTAAACAAAAAAAAAAGCGTTAAATAGCCTCATCAAAAAAGTTGTTTAGAGTTGCAACTTTTAGAAAATCTAGTAGAGGTAAAAATACCTGAATTTTCTTAATGCGGCGTTAATTTTTCATAAAAATCGCGTGTTTTCCGAGTCAAAATATCCGTTTACAAAAAGTAGAACTTTTGAGAAATGCACTTGTACTGTACTACACTATTACTACACTACACTGTACCAGTATTATTATAATACCTGTTTCTGAATCGATTGCTTGGTCTCTCCATCTAATAACACCATTTCCCCAAAGAGAATCACTCGATCCGATGGACGAAGATTGTTGAGGATTCCCTGGAATTGAATTAAGCGATAAGGATCTATATATTAAGCGATAAGGACTTTGGTGGTTAATCCTAGATCTACGATAGCCATTAATCCTAGATCTACGATAGCCATCAATCCTAGATCTAAGTTAGCCATTAATCTTAGACCTAAGATAGCCATTAGTCCCGAATCTATGATAACCATTAATCCTAGGTTTACAGCTATTAAGCCAGCCATTACAGCTATTAAGCCAGCCATTACAGCTATTAAGCCAGCCATTACAGCTATTAAGCCAGCCATTACAGCTATTAAGCCAGCCACTAATCCTAGAGCTTACAGTAGAGCTGTAAAACTAACCGCAATTCCATCCATTCTCTGCATCAACAACTGAACAGGGTTTTGGTGTGTGGCGGTGGTCGACGAAGAGACGGTGTGCAGAGAAGAACGATCATCGCCCGCCATTCCAAGGAGATTTTCTAAATACAATAGTTATGGACAAATAATATTATTATTTATCAAATATGGACAAATAATTGTAATCCATTATCGTTATCAAATTAATAAATTAATAAATTAACAAATAACAGTTATCCATTATTGTTACATTTGTTTCTAACTTCAAAAACTCACCCAACAAAGTCTTCTGCTCGGCAAGCATCGATCCAATTTGATAGATCTCTCGTTCAAGATCTGAAATGGCAATACAATAAACTCGTAATACATACTGCAGTTTACACAGTAATCTAGTATCTATCTAGTAATCTATCTAGTAAATCACAGTAAGATTTACACAGTATCTATTAGGTTGATGCAAAAGTCTTTTTCATTTTTTTCGTACTTCTTTCTTTTGATAACAAAGTCATCAATTAACCTATGGTTTGCTCTAAATGAAAAGTGTTTATTGTTCAATTTCCCATCTTTTTAAGTCAATTTGGGTTCAGTTTCAAGCAAATTCGAGAGTGAAAACGGGTTTTTCATAAAAATCTATAAAAACCTCTATAAAGAAATTGGCTGAATCAATTTCTCTGAAAATCTGAAAAAATATCTAACTTTTTGTGCTCTATCTTTTATTTATTAACATCAAGATTGGTTTCCTTAGCTAAAGCGTCTAAAATGCATCATCGAATGCATCGTCTAAAATGCATCGCCTTTTTTGACTACCCGACTTCAGGCTCTCAAAAAAATCTAGACATAAGACATTTTAAACTCGTTTTAATGTCATTTTGCAGAAAAATCATTGGCCTTTCGAATGCAATAAACCGTTGTTCAATTGGTGCATTTGTTACTTTTTAACGGAAGTACGAAAAAAATGAAAAAGACTTTTGCATCAACCTAATAGTAAAACATTTCATTATTTTACAAAAAAAAAAACCAACGTGAAATCTCGCGACTGGCCTCAATAAACTGATGGTAGTCCTTGAAGACGTTGTTCTTCAGGGATTCCTGGAAAGATTTGTATTTTAAAAGTCTATATGTCGTAGTGGAAAAGGGTTTTTCAGTCAAAAAGCTTTGAAATTTTCTCAACTAACCAAAAAGGTTTCAAATTTTCTCAGCTAGCCGAAGTTCTCAAGCCATATCAGCTTGCCAAAGACGTTTTGAAACCTTTTCGGCTAGCCGATATGATTTAAAATCTAGAACACTTGCCATTGGAAGAAATTACTCTTTTTTGGGATCCTTATCCAAGAATCCAATGCACTTGCTGACAAGGTTTCATTTAATTTTTGAATTTTCTCCCTTTTCATGCTCCTTGCGCTCTTTTCTGTTATTTCAATTCAGTTGATCTATCGTTTTTATCATTAGTTTTTCAAATGTTTGTAATTAAATTTCTAAATTCTGTTTTCTTTTTTAGGTAAATAATGATGATTGAGGTTGGAGTGCCAATAAATAAATGATCATTTCGTTTGTATTTCTTTTCCATTTCTTTTAGCTATCATTTCGATCAGTTATTATTGCCGAGTCATTGACAGGCTCGTCAGGTAAACTTTTTGACTGAAAAAACCTTTTCCACTACGATATATAAACTTTTTAGTTTATTTCACTAATTTTTCAATAGAAAATTTTCCATTCTTCACTTTTAGGGCACAAGCATTGCCTGAATGAAACTGAATGAAATGGATGTAGGAATGAAAGGTGAAAGCTGCTTTAAATTAAACGTTATCTGCAATAGTCGTTTCCAGTCACAAACAATACTTGTAACAACAAGTGAAATCATCATATTTATCATATATTTTAAGCTGATTGTGATACTCAAAAATTTTGTTGATTATGATTGAAGAAGGTTTTTTTTTAATGAATAGATATTAAATATCATAATAGGCTTAGGCTCATCATAATATTCAGTTTGATGCTATTATTATGCTATAATAATATCATAAAGAGTAATTTCTTTCAATTTCAATTTTTCCACAATATCACCTAGTCGAAAAGGTTTCAAAAAACCATAACCACTTCGGTTTCAAAAACCATAACCATATCAAAGTTATATATTAACAACTCAGAATTTCACAAGGAATCGAATGGCATCTTTCGTTTGTTGATCGGACCATTCTGCCACGAAATATAAGCCTCGGGGGGGATCCAGAGAAATCCATTGAAAAGTTTGGATTTTTCCTCTAGGCCTTCTATCTCGTCGTAGAGTGCTTCAATCGACAAACGAAAGCGGGCATTCGATTCCTTGTGAAATTCTGAGTGATATTCATAAGGTTTGAAACCTTTTCGGCTACGACATATCCATTGAATCATTGAATAAATTTCGGCTACTTTTCTCATCAAATTCCCTACCTGTGCCTCGTGATTCACCGCTGACATTTCACTCCTCAACTGCTTTAATTGTCGCGTCTCTTGGCCATCACGAACATTTAGCAAACGTTGACGGATATCTGAAAAATCGAGCTTGACTTGGAGCCAATGCTAATTTTAGCTTTTTTTCCGTTACATGTCAGTGTCAGTGTCAGTGTCAGATAACAAGTATTCATGTAGTAAAACGGCTTCAAGGCTAAAACGGCTTTTCAGCTTCAAAAGAAACTCTTTCCTTCCTTCTAACCCATTTTCAATAGCATTTCCCTTTTATATAAAAAAAACATACACTCAGCCGGATTGAAATTCTCTGCTTCAAGAATCTCCTTTGTATGGGAAGATTGTTGCGAAGAAACCGTTCGAAAGCTGACACCCGGCGATGACATTTCTGAATTTCTAAATACGAATTTTAAAATTATCATTTAAAACTTTAATACTGCTAAACAATAAACAAAGCTTTTGTTGGGGTTTGCTGAAAAATTTTGTTAGGTTGAGCAGAGACTAACGACTACTCGGTAATACTATGGACACAAACACTTGGAAGTATCTTTGAATTGGAAGTTTGAAGAGACTAAACACCCGTTTGTCCATCGTTCATCAAATAAAACTGAATCTTTATTCTGCATTATTGCAATTACTATCAGAAAGCAAAACCCACACGCACTACAAAAAAAAGGGAATCAAAATCGATTTTTATCTCGCTTAATCACAGCGAAAACTATTATAACTTAAGAGAGCGTGTATTTACATACACCAAAGCGAAAACTTAGAAATATAACAACGAAAAAAAAAATTAATCGTATAACCCTAGAATATTTGATGGAGAAACATTGCAAAGAATAAAACACGAAAGAGAAACTTTAGCAGTTACCTAATTCGAGTTTCGAAGACACGACAAAAATGGGATCCATCTGGTGAACTTATGAAGACGCGATTCGGCTCGACTCTTCGTCTTTCTTTCCTTTTCTCCACTAGCGTCAATGGTCTTCTCAGAAATTGGAGATGTTTTTTCCTGGAAATAAACTGGAAATACTTTGTTTAAACCCAATTACTCGTATCGTTGAATTGAATTTGTTGAAATTTATCGATTTATTTATTTATTGAATTGGACAATCGCCATTTTTTAACACTTTACAAACTCAACTCCAAAAATCGATAGAGTCAAACTTGTGCATCGAACAAAAATCCTCACAAACAACAAACCCTCACCTCACATTTCAGCAGTGTGCTTTTCAAAAGTGCTTGATTTCGTACCGGCGTCTCAATCATCACATCTTCTAAAGAAACGGATAAATGCCATATCTAACTCAAATGCCACCAGGTCCTCCAAATAAGACGTTGAGTTGCGAGTAAACAGGCACGGCCAATCCCGAATAGCATTCGTTCACCAGTTGATCCCAATTCATGTCCGTCTAAATATCCAATAAGTGAATAAGTCCAATATATCCAATAAATATCCACCAAAAGTCAAAACAACCTGCGGGAATAGGTGCACAAACCACGGATGATGCACCACTTCGTGCACTTTGAGACGACGCTTTGGCTTCTTATCCAACATTCCAGCGAGTAAACTAAATTTAACAGTTTTTAATTTAACATTTAACATTTTTCAATAAACAACACAAAACGCACTCAACAAGTTCGTCCCTCAAATCGACGGTGTTCGGCATGAGCAGCGGACGTTCACAAATGTTCGTAAAGAGTTGTCGCATAGTTGTACCTAGAATTAGAAAATGTAGCTAAATACATCTAGAGATGACTTATAAGTTTTTGACTTATAAGTAATCTAGAGATGACTTATAAGTTTAAAAAATTCTTTAACTCACCTCCAAATGGATACTCGCCCGAGAGCAGATAATACAGAGTGATTCCACTCGCCCAGACATCAAGTGCAAACCCACTAAAAATCAATAAATCCATCCCATATTCTAAGAATCCATCCTTTTTTTCGTTTAGCATTAATACCTCAAAGGCTTTTCTTTCATTTAAACCACCTACTCATAGAACTCATTTTTTCCGTTAACAACTTCAGGCGGATGAAATTTCGGCGTTCCTTGTAAAGTGTCTGTTATGGTATCGCGCTAAAAAGTGTCTATTTGTCAAAGTTACAAAAAACGCCGAGCCTGAAAGAGTGCCACCTGTTCGGCAACACCAAAGTCGGTGATCTTCAAGACGCGATTTGAAGAGATGAGTAAATTGGCCGGCTTGATGTCCTTGTGAATGATGCCTAACGAGTGAATGTAGTCTACTCTGAAAAAGAGTGAGTGCAAAGTAAAGATTGTTTAATCTCTAGCTAAAGCAAACTCACCCAGAAATCAGCTGTCTGAAGAAAAAGTTCGACCACGCCTCCGAAAGCTTTCGTCCTGTCGAAAGAGCCACCACCTAAACAAATTTATAAATGAAACATTGACAACATTCACCTTTTCTAATGATGCTATGCAGTACTCCAAAATCATGTACTGTTTGTACTTCTCTTCAATGCGAAAGAACTAAAAAGAATAGTATTGACTTATTCAATACGAAAGAACTAAAAAGAATAGTATTAACTTATTCAATTCGATAAGTTCGATAAAATAACGATAAGCTAACAAACAGAAGTTCTCACCTCAATCATTTTGACACAATTCGGATGTTCGAGCTGTCTTAACAAGTAGTATTCATTGAGCACATTACTAAAGCCATTTGGAATCTTTCTTAATCGGCAATCTAAAATAAAATATTGTTAAAATCGAAATAATTTAACCTTTAAAGATTTTCACAGCGCATCTGATCAGTGTCTTGTCCTGGATGACTTCCTAAAAAACAAATTCAATGGGCACATTGTAAATGTTGCTATTAAATCATAAATATTAAATCAATAATATTAAATGAATTCGAACTTTAGTTTTATAAACAATTCGTTTATGTTGGTGTGATAACTTTAGCTGCAATTTAGGTAAAATGGTTTTTGATGGGTCCTTACAATGGCAAAAAGGCCTTTTTAAACTCCAAAAGAGAATGAAAGGGTTTTTTAAATTCCAAAAGACAATAAAAGGGTTTTTTAAATTCCAAAAGACAATGAAAGGGTTTTTTTAAACTCCTAAAGGCAATGAAAGGGTTTTTTTAAACTCCAAATGCTTACCTTAACTTTCGCGTAACTCCCGACCCCGATTTCAGGCCCAAAAAGGTAACCCTTGAGGCTTTTCGGTTGTTTAACGGGCCAATTCACCACCGGAGCCTATAAATAAAAGTTGTGCTGCAAAATGTTCTAAAAAACTAACCATTTCATACTCCTCGACATACGTATCTAGCGTTTTGGTCATCTGATGAGACCGTGCTATAGCATGATTGTCGGCGATTTGTGGTGTTGAGTGGAAGCGTTGCTGAAAAAAAAATGAAGCTAGCGAGCAAGATTGAATTCCCACTTGTACTTTAATTGTAAGCAATCAAATTGAATCAAAAATTTACTCACCAATTGATCTCCGGAAGAGGAAAAATCCCAATTTCGAGATCCATTTTGCCCGTAACCGAGTCCCATTTTCTAAACGCTAAACGATGATTTTTATTCAAAAATTGAATCCAACCACTCGTTGTCTGCTATCTTTCCGTGAAAGCGAGAGTGAGATTTGCCTAAAATAAGTATATTGAAACTTTTAAATAGAATAATTCAGCATAAATCATTGCTTCAGCCAATCATTGCAATTCTTTCATCAGCCAATCATTGCCATTCTTTCATGATTGAATTTGGATTCAAGGATTTATCAAATGTTCTTACGACCTCGTAAAACATGTTTTAGAAGTAACAATGTCACAAGCATGCGTCTTTAGCATGCTTTGTGTCACAAGCACACCATGCATGCGTCTTTAAACTTCATAGGCACAAATCTAAGAACACCATGATGAAAAGAGGTGCTAGCGAAAGCGTCAAATTATTTGCGTATCATTTGCACCAAATTTTCGCTTTTCAACACACTTTCCTACCAACTCTGATTGTTTTATTTTTTTTTTTTTACTACTTTTTCTCGTCGACGATGCTCGCTACTTTCACGCATTCGTCGGTTCTGAAAATGGCATTCGATATAAAGAGCAAAAAGCCCAATCGGTGACTGAAAAATGATTGTTTTTGGGGGCTGCATATGTATTTAAACGTGTTTCTAATTCTAATATCTAATTGAAAACAGTGAGAACTAAAATTGTGAAGCAGAAAACTGAAAAAAGTTGGTTAGAAGTTGGGGGAAATGATTTTTTACAGTGATTAGTAGGAAAGTGTGTTGAAAAGCGGAAATTTGGGGTAAATAAAACGCGGCGCAAAAAAACGCAGCGCTTTTGCTAGCTTTTGCTTTTGCTAGCACGTCGACGAAAAGATACACGAGAAAAGCAAAAGTATGACAAACTGATAGTCTTGTTATCCACAAGATTTCAAAACTCGTCCAAGACTCGTTCCAAGCTCATCGTCCGCCTCTTTTACCGAAATCCCTTCAAATCTTTACCTATTTCTCGAGCTGTATGACAAGCTGATAGCCTATTTCTTAGCTGATAGCCTAAGCTGTATGACAAGCATGACAATCAGATAGTCCTGCTATCCACAAGATTGCAAGACTCGTTCCAAGCTCATCATCCGCTCTTCTTGGATGATCGCTTCTTCTCTTCTCTTCTTCGTCCGTCTTTTACCAAAATCTCTTCAAATCTTTACCTATTTCTCGAGCCCGAGTCGTAACTGGACATCCTTGTAGGCGATCTGCTGATTGAAACGATCGAGGCGATGAATCTAAAGAAGAAAAATTAGGTTCTTGTACTTTAAAAGAAAGAAAAAAAAAACGCGTAAAAGCAACATAACAAGCAACATAGCAACATTTCTATAACAACCTAGCTCTACCATATGAAAAGACTAGCTATAAGGAATATTTCAAAAAATTTTGTCTTTTAAAATCCTTGTTTTACAATCGATGACACAATTTACTAAAAGAAATGAAGCAACCGGGGAAGCGGGACAAATGCTACCTTTTTTTGCGCACCCGGACATTTGCGCACCTTTTTTTCCGCACCTTGCCCATTAGCGCACCTTTTTTCGCGTTTTAAAAAAGCTCTAAAAGCTAATATTAACCAATTTCTATTCCAAAAGTTGTTTTTCTAGGTAATTTGAGGGTGTCGAATTCAAATTTTGACATAACAGAAGCGTCAAAGCGGAACCAATTTGAAAGACAAAACGGCTAGATCAAATTACAGAAAATTGTCGATTTTTCTCTTTGTATAACTCTGTCCGTTTGTTTCCACAAGCTCTGATATGTCAAAATTTCGATTCTACGCCCTAAAATTACCTAGAAAAACGACTTTTGGAATAGAAATTGGTTAATATTAGCTTTTAGAGCTTTTTTAAAACGCGAAAAAAGGTGCGCTAATGGGCCAGGTGCGGAAAAAAAGGTGCGCAAATGTCCGGGTGCGCAAAAAAAAGGTCGCATTTGTCCCACTCCCGAAACCGGAAATTCAACCAAATAAAATGAGCCTTTCAATGATTTATTTACTTATTATAAAAGTAAAAATATTTAGTTGAGGGACTAAAATTTCAATAATGGAAACGAACGTTGTTTAAGTTTAATTTGGTTAATTACAGTCATACGCAAAAGTCTTGGCGTGTTCAGTGCGGGAAAATACTTTTGAGGTTTTCAGCAAATTTTTCCAAGCAACATAGAAAGTGTTAAAGGGTTTTAGTTAGCCCGATATCTCTAGTTTTGAGAACAAAACACCCCATTTAGCAACAATTTATCGTTTTTTGAGAAATCAATGAACAAGTCGCAGACATGAGAACAATGACTGTAGTTAATGATTAACTCTAAAATTTTGCTTTTTCTTGTTAAGCCTAATGTTTTGTTGAATAATGACGAATTCAGTGTGCTAGAAATGGTGGGTTTCCACAGAAATGGTGGGTTTCCACTATTTTGAGCACAAAGCACACCTCAGGCACTTATTTTAGAGCTTTTAATGATACTCTAGAGCTTTTAATGATACTCTAGAGCTTTTGATGATACTCTAGAGCTGTTGATGAGGCTCTAGAGCTGTTGATGAGGCTCTAGAGCTGTTGATGATACTCTAGAGCTTTTGATGATACTCTAGAGCTGTTGATGATACTCTAGAGCTTTTGATGATACTCTAGAGCTTTTGATGATACTCTAGAGCTGTTGATGATACTCTAGAGCTTTTGATGATACTCTAGAGCTGTTGATGATACTCTAGAGCTGTTGATGAGGCTCTAGAGCTTTTGATGATACTCTAGAGCTTTTGATGATACTCTAGAGCTTTTGATGATACTCTAGAGCTGTTGATGATACTCTAGAGCTTTTGATGATACTCTAGAGCTGTTGATGATACTCTAGAGCTGTTGATGAGGCTCTAGAGCTTTTGATGATACTCTAGAGCTGTTGATGAGGCTCTAGAGCTGTTGATGATACTCTAGAGCTGTTGATGAGGCTCTAGAGCTTTTGATGATACTCTAGAGCTGTTGATGAGGCTCTAGAGCTGTTGATGATACTCTAGAGCCTTTGATGATACTCTAGAGCTTTTAATGCTACTCTAGAGCTTTTAATGCTACTCTAGAGCTTTTGATGATACTCTAGAGCTTTTGATGATACTCTAGAGCTTGAAACATCTAAAAAAATACACAATCCGAACGGTTTTCACGAAAGTTGGTCGATTACTGCAAAATCTTGCCACTTTATCAAAATTTCAACATTTCTCTGCAACAAGAGCTCTTTGTTTACACATTGTGCGGGTGGACTGATGTAGGAGTAGTGAAAGAGTCAAAAAAGGACAAGTGGAGGCGGGGGTCAGCAAGAAGTCCCCTTTTCCATGCCAATCCCAAAATGAATGCAGCTCTCATTACACCTTTTTGCTTAAAATAGCTCGGTGAACAGCTTAAAACTTTACTGGCTTTTATGTTCTTTGTTTCTAATTGTAAGACTTTGTCTTACAATTGTCTTTGTCTTTGTTCTTTTTGGTTAAACCGTTTTCTAATGCTCCTAGAAAAAGCTACGCTGAACGACGGTTTGTTTATTTGCTTGTTCATCAGATGCGATGGGCATCTGCTATGCGACTGCTTTTACCTAGCGGTACTGAGGGCACATAGCACAAATCTGGGGATAGGCTACTTTGCGCTAAATTTTTTTGCGCAACTCGCCATAACTTTCTTCTAAGTCGGCCAATCTTTATGATTTTGGTGTCATTTTGTAGATCTCAATAAGTGTAACAAAATGACATCAAAATCATAAAGATTGACCCACTCAGAAGAAAGTTAGAGAGAGTTGTTCTTTTCTTTTGCACATCCATGACAATTCTATGATGAATAATCTCCGTCTTTCTTTGAAAGCTCCTTTTTTTGTGCTCGTATATGTAGCACGCCTTGGTGTCATTTAAAATGCGCCAACAAAACCATCGAATGCTTTTTGAATCTTATGTGACATGATCACAATGGAATATTTTCGCAAGATCTCGAGCAGATTGGCATGGATAGGCCTGAATAACGTCCCTCAGCTTGGCTTCGTTCACGACTTCTGGCCTCGAATCGTGCTCGTAATCTTCCAAAGTCTCGTCTCCCTCTAGGAATCGTTGAAACCAAGTCTGACACTGCCTGAGAGACAAACTGCTATCTCCCAAAGCAGCACAGAGAGCACAGAGAAGCAGCACAGAGAACGATGCGATTCGGCAGCAGACTTTCCAATTTTGAAGTTAGACAGTAATACGGTTCCAATACGGTTCTTTTTTTGATCTAATACGGTTCCTATTTTGATCTAATACGGTTCCAATACGGTTCCTTTTTTCATCTAATACGGTTCCAATACGGTTCCTATTTTGATCTAATACGGTTCCAATACGCTTCCTATTTTGATCTAATACGGTTCCAATACGGTTCAAATACGGTTCCTATTTTGATCTAATACGGTTCCAATACGCTTCCAATACGCTTCCTATTTTGATCTAATACGGTTCCAATACGGTTCCTTTTTTGATCTAATACGGTTCCAATACGGTTCCTTTTTTTATCTAATACGGTTCCAATACGGAACCGTATTGGAACCGTAATGCTACTCTTAGTACAAACTTTTGCTCGACCATGATCTAAATAAAAAATATATGCATTTTTGAATAAAATAAACAACAATCAAAAAATTCAAATGTTGAAATAAATAGCAAACAAATATGCGAACAAAACATAAAAAATAATGCCGTTAGCATCGCTCGTTTCTGATAAATGACAGCTGATATCGGCAATTTCTTTTGCACCACCCTAATACTTTGAACTCCCCAGAAGTTCTTCCCCAGAAACTCCCGAGAAATTCCTAAGCTAAGCCTGATGCCAAATTTTTAGAGGCACTGTCACAATTCGTAGGATTCTTCTCGGAAAAATGGATTCTAGATATCCATTGGCTGCATTGGTCCATTAGGTCTGGATAGGGGCTGGCCCCTCATTGGGGTCTCCACTAGGGCCGTTCCCCTCCAGAGGCCCCCTCACCCCTTCCCTCTTCCGTTCACCGAAATGTCGTCTCCTTTCCTTTCCCCTCCTTTTTTTCCCCATTCCCCTTTCCCCACAATTCTTCATTAGGCGATGTCCAGGCACGGCGAAAAAGCAGCCCACACCGATATCCCCTTTTCCTTTTCAGGACTCTTTTCCAGAAAAACCCCACACTACTTTGCATCACACTGCCTTCAATTAAAACCCTAGCCGTTTTTTTTCGGCAACTCTTGAATCGATACTATGTTTGACTGTAAGAATTCGACTGTAGGACTTGGCTAGACTTTAAATCTATAAATTCGGTACTTCTAGGCTTCAAGCTCGGTTCCTAGGCTTCAAGCTCGGCTCCTAGGCTTCAAGCTCGGTTCCTAGGCTCGGCTCGTAAGCTTCAAGCTCGGTTCCTAGGCTTCAAGCTCGGCTCGTAAGCTTCAAGCTCGGCTCCTAGACTTCAAGCTCGGTTCCTAGGCTTCAAGCTCGGTTCCTAGGCTTCAAGCTCAGCTCGTAAGCTTCAAGCTCGGCTCCTAGGCTTCAAGCTCGGCTCGTAAGCTTCAAGCTCGGCTCCTAGGCTTCAAGCTCGGCTCGTAAGCTTCAAGCTCGGCTCCTAGGCTTCAAGCTCGGCTCGTAAGCTTCAAGCTCGGCTCCTAGGCTTCAAGCTCGGTTCGTAAGCTTCAAGCTCGGCTCTATTTACTTTCAAGAAATCCTTTATTGAAAAGATTGCTTCTGATTATTTCAATTTTCCAACTAACTCAATTGAAATAAGGAATTTTTATGAGTTCTGGAGAACTTGATAATTCATCAAGGCTACAATGCTCTGAACATGGTCACCCGCATTGGGAAGAAGAGAGAGTCGCCCGTGGAGTCTTTTTTGGCGATGAAAGAGAGAGGGGCAATGCAGGGCTCATGCCTGCTCAGCCGCCCACTCTGCACTCTCGCCTCTTCCCATCCTCTCCGTCTCTTCACCCCATCAGCTGCCCCATTCTCCCCATTCTATTCTCCTTTCGGCCCGTGTGAAGCCGCCTCTTTTCCCAGCTTTCCCCCCGACTTTTCTCTTCTCTTTCTCCATATTTTTAGACATATTTTCTTTCTTCTTCTTCCTTCTTCTTTCTTCCGGTTTTGTCAGTTTTCTTTGAGTGATATTTGTGGAGATCATCGGATCATAGAATCTCATTCTTGAATCAAAAGTTTAAATAGGGTTTAGATTTAAAGCCGGGTATTTTAAAAG